AAGGTGCATAATGTGTGAATGCCTCCTAAATCCGTAAACATTTTTGCTGTGAAAACTGGTCGCACGACACCAATTTTATGCACCCACACAAATGCTTCTAAATATAATTTGCCGTCGCATAGATAAAATTTTTGGCGCATATGTGATTAAAATGGTCGCAATTTCGAGCCATGTATTGTGCATTTAGAGATGCTCTTCCGCATGCCTCTGTGGTAATGAGTGAAATACAGCTACTGTTGCCTTTCTTTCAGCTCGAACCAATCTGGCCATTCTTCTCTGACCTCTGGCATCAACAAGGCATTTGCGCCCATAAAACTGCCACTCACTGGATATTTTCTCTTTTCTCTGACCATTCTCTGTAAACCCTAGAGACGGTTGTGTGTGAAAATCGCAGTAGATCAGCCGTTTCTGAAATACTCACTCCAGCCTGTCTGGCACCATCATCCATGCCATGTTCAAAATCCCTTAAATCACTTTTCTCCCTTATTCTGATGCTCAGATTGAACAGCAGCAGATGATCTTGACCATGTCTACATGCCTAAATACATTGAGTTGCGCTCATGTGATAGGCTGATTAGAAAATTGCGTTAACGAGCAGTTGGACAGGAGTACCTAATAAAGTGGCCGGCGAGTGTAAGTTACTAATGCAGAATTGTTAGATTTAAAACATTTATTAAATGTGAGTAAAAATGCAGTGAACAGTTGAGCTGTTTAAGGGTAGGGTAGGCCGTTTCAGAGAGGCTAGCAATTGCAAGCAAGCTTTAAAACACAAAGATCCTGCTCTCCCTGGATAATAACTGACCAAAGCCATGCTCAAAACACATGAACACAACACACACACAGGCAGACCTGAGGCTCAAGTGACAAGACGAGAGAGTGAGATTACCTCATGTCTCATTTACCAGTGAGAAAGCAATACAGTCCAAAAAACATAATATATCACAAAAATAAGTCAGTCTGCATAGTGGAAACGCACTGATGATTTATCCTGTCTGCAGAAACAGGGTGCACAGAGCTTTGTAAATCCATATGTTGACATCCAGGATGAAAGACCAGCCTACTGTAATGTTTGGGGTGACATTTTGATTGGAATTTTTTTGGTCCTACGTCTTCCACAGACTACATAAATACATTCAGACCACTCAACCTAAAGAGTGCTTTTGAGATTTTCAACCAGCATAACAAAATACTTGGACATGTCAATATATGTGTTTACTGTTGCAATTGGAGGCTTTATTTAAAAACTGAAAATAAATGTTAAGCTAGTCCTGCATTTACCTAGCTGGAGTTGCATGTATTTAATATAAAACTAGTATGCTTACATTGCGTTCATTAGAATGCCATAGACTGCATAATGTTTATATCTGTTCAGAAGGAATATTGCTTAAGTGGCATAAATCTCCAGAAACAGTTTTACAAGACCATTTATATCCCTAGAGATTGGACCTAGAAAGAGAGCTCAGTTTTTACCTTATTTGATAGGTTTGTGAATATTAATGAGCTCTGCTCTTACTCTTATCTCTGATGCTTAAACAGTGTGATGTACTCTGAAATAAACATGCCAAATAATACTTCAATTTTCAAAAAAAAAATTTTGAACAAGCTAAGATGTCCTGTTAAATGGCTATTGTTTCAACTGAATGGTTGAACATAAAGAGGTTTATGTTAGGAGCGAGTGAGCAATCTGTCGGCAACTGATGTAAGAGTTATGTGTTGAGAATAAAATATAGTCTAAATTATAATTATATTTGACAAAAGGGACCTACAGAGATGTATTTAGAATTGTATGGGCTTAATATGTATGAAAACACGGGCAGAAATCAATATCAACCCCTGCATCAACAGATGAGTTTATTGCTGTCTTTTCATCTAGAATTATCACAGTAAGAGCTGAGTGCTATGACCTGATGCATAAAGGTGGACTAAACACTTGTTCAATAGTTTACATGTGCTCAGTGGTAGTAACTAATTACAAATACTCAAATTAATTGAGTAGTTTTTCTTAGGAATTGTAATTTACTAAGTAGTTTTAAAAATGTGTACTTTTACTTTCCCTTGAGTACATTTTTAGTGCTGTATCGGTGCTTTTACATTACTACTTTCCTTCAACCTGCAGTCACTACTTTATTTTTTCTTGTTTTGGGGGATTAGAAAATTCAATCCTGCGATTCCTGTCCAATAAAATCACACATCAAAGGTAAATGAACTACCTCAAGACATGGCTGATTTATAATTGCAGCAAACAGTTTGGAAGCATTAAAAGTGACCAAGATGTCCAAAATATTTACACACATTGACCAAGAGACTGTTTAGATGCATGTCACAGATGAGAAGATGATGGATGTTGCAACAGATTTACACAAGATACATGTTAAACTAATAAAAGATACAGTTGAAGAGACTTTCCCAATTTCCTTACATGTACAGTTTGAGTCCCACATACATAGGAAATATTATCAGCTGTGTTATATTCAGAAAATGGCGTCATGGTGTAGCACGATCGCCTCACAACCAGAAGGTCACTGGTTCGAGCCCCGGCTGGGTCAGTCAGCATTTCTTTGTGGAGTTTGCATGTTCTCTCTGCGTTTGCGTGGATTTCCTATGGGTGCTCTGGTTTCCCCCACAGTCCAAAGACATATAGATGAACTGAATAAGCTAAATTGGCTGTAGTGTATTTTTGTGAATGCAAGAGTGCTTTGATGTTTCCCGGTTTTGTTTTTGGGCTGGAAGGGCATCTGATGCGTAAAACATATGCTAGATTAGTTGGAAGTTTATTCCGCTGTGGCAACCCTAGAGTCATAAAGCGACTAAGCCGGAAAAGAAAATAAATGAATGAATATTCAGAAAAAAATGGGGAAAAATTATTCTTTAATTGTTGAAACCTCACTAAGAAATGTGGCCAATCAAACGCTGAGGGCGTACATATTAATGATCCCATGTAACTTACCACCGTCAGTGATTGGTTCTAATTGGCCTGTTTTTACTGCGATTTTTAGACTTCTGGGATTTACATGAAAATGAGGAAATGTTGGTGTTACAGACTCATTGTATGTCACAATTATGCACTGAACTATCCCTAGATATATCTAAAATTTAATTCTATGGCACATTTAATATGTTAAGACTTTTTGCCCTATGTAATGTCTTTTTATTTGCTATGTTTACATTTGGGTGTTAAATACATTTTGTTATTTTCACTTGTTCATTGCACAATGTTCAATAATTATCATTAGTAGTTATCAGTGATTTGGTAAACATTTTCTTGCAAAATAAACATTCATCAATAAGTATTTTTAATATTTATTATCAAAGTACTTTTTTTTTACTCAAATTGAACTGAAAAGTGCTTTTTTAACTATAATTTAACTAAAGTAACAGTATCTGCACTTTTACTTAAATGCTTGACGTGTCCACCATTGCTAATTTTTGAGGTTGAAGGTTGAAAATGGTAAAACTTTTTTTAAACCTGTATTTAGCTTCATTCACTTGTGCTTGTTATTATAAAAAATACAAGCATCTCAATATCAGGCATAAACAGGCTCTGAGTGCAGAAAAGTTACTTCCTCTTTTCTGTTGCAGCAGCAGATACACATCCACACACTTGCCAATCAGTTCAGAACTGCGCATCTATAAATGAAATTACAGAACATATTACACTTCTAAAGCTGTGTGTATGCTGGGCAAAATTCATTTTGAAGCATTTGCACACCTGCTCCATTGCAGCTCTGGCTGCTGTTATGATCACAACTTGCAATTGGCTATTTATAGAGATCTCCTGCTCCAATCTGAGGAACAGATGATGCATCTATGTTTGTGAAGAGGGTTAACCGTCCCTGGTTTGCCCACAAGTCTCCGGTATAAGTGGCGCTTGAATTGACGTCCCCCAGTGTGAATTATGACACTCTAAATTGACAGTTTTCCAATGATCGTGGCAATACTTTGATTAGAGAGAGGGATAAACAAAAACAAACGCACCTGTATTTTCACAGGAGAACTGCGACCGAGTCCCGCGAGACCTGTAAAATGGACGCCCCGTTTCCACCTCAAGGCAATTACGTGCCATCTGCTCTAGTCTGCGTTGCGCAGAGCCGCTTTGTTTTTGGGGTTGTTGATGTAGAATTATGCGCTTTAAATTGACATAATCCATGACAGATTGTGATTGACAGCCGAAAAATTAATCATATGGCTAAAACGAGTGGTCAGTTACTTTCACAGAGTAAAGTGAACACCTGGAGATCAAACCATCAGCCAAAACTGCAGAGTTGGTGAGACAACGTGAAATAATGGGATGCTATCTATTATTTCGGTTCTATGGAGAAAGCGGGATTGTTTTATTACACTTTTTGCACACATTTACAACACAAATCGGAAAAGGTTTTCTTTCCGGATATTTTTTTCCATGGTTTATGTCTCCTGTCGTAATTGTAGTTTTATTGGATATCAAGCCTCTTTTGGCAGTGAACATCTGGGCATCTAAAGCAATAATGGCAACATTTACACTTGTATCTCAAACACCTGCGAATTCTCACCGAGATGTATGAATATATTGAATCCATCTCATCTGAATATGTAATTCTTCCCCTCTCTAGTGTGGAAGAAAGCCCAAATCGATTCTTTGTGTTATAAATGCTGTTGTTGTTGCTCACAAGTCATTAACCATATAAGGAGTACTAGAGTGCTTCCAATGTATTTTCTAAGACTTCTGATTATTAAAAATAAGAATGCGAAGTAAAAATGTAATAAAAACCGTAATAATCATTGTTTTTAGGATTAGAATAGCAAAGTAAAACAACATGATATCAAATAAGAGTTTGCAGTGTTAACAGCTTAACACAGTGTTTTTGTAGAAGCTAAATAACTGGAAGCAAATGACACCACCGTCTTTTGCTTTAGAAAATAAGGAGCAGAACACATTTCCTGTTAATAACATTCTTTCTTTGCCTATTTTTAATAAAGCCTCTTTTTGGCTGCTTTACAGTCAAAATCTTAAAGACACTAACCTGAGGACAACAATGATCACCACTAGTGGGTAACACTATACACCCAGTGGTAGGCCAGTAATTTGCTACCACAGCAGGACCCGACGCAGGAGTGTAGTTCAGACAGGCCTCCGGTACACCACCACCATCACTCAGACAAATAGAGAGGAAGAGAGAGAAGAATAAGCTGTTGCTGTATTTGAGTTCACTTCATTTGATTTTAAGCAAGATAAGACATGCACGTTCTGTAATGTGTTCAAAACAAACACACTTACTCAAACACAGTTACACAGTTTACAGGTCAAAGCTGGAGTGGGAGAGCTGGGTTTCGCAGCTCAATGAACTCAAGAACCAAGTTGAAGGTCGTTGCATTTAGGTTTGCATAATAGTTAGAGTCCATATGAAAAATATATTCTTAGTGTGTTGTTTAACTGAATTATGAGGTTGTTCACAACAAGTACTAAACTGAGTTTAGTTTTAAATATCTATACTACAACCATAATAAGAATGGGTGTGCATATATGCCTCATTAGGACTATTTTCTATGTGCAATGATTAAAACCAGTCCATGGACACTCAAGAATGGCAGTTGTATGCAATGGCAGTTATACAGTTGAAGTCGGAATTATTAGAGCCCTGTTTATTTTTGTCCCCCATTTCTGTTTAATGGAGAGATTTTTTTCAACACATTTATAAACATAATAGTTTTAATAACTCATCTCTAACAACTGGTTTATTTTATGTTTGCCATGATGACAATCAATAATATTGATATTAACTAGATATTTTTCAAGAAACTTCTATGCAGCTTAAAATAACATTTAAAGGCTTAAGTAGGTTAATTAGGTTAACTAGGCATGATAGGGTAATTGGGCAAGTTATTGTATTAAGATGGTTTGTTTTGTAGCCAATCGAAACAATATATAGCTTAAAGGGGCTAATAATATTGACCTTAAAATGGTGTTTAAAAATGAAAAATTGTTTTTGTTCTAGCTGAAATAAAACAAATAAGACTTTCTCAAGAAGAAAAGATATTATCAGACATTGTGAAAAATTCATTGCTCTGTTAAACATTCATTCATTCATTCATTTTCTTGTAGGCTTAGTCCCTTTATTAATCCGGGGTCACCACAGCAGAATGAACCACCAACTTATCCAGCAAGTTTTTACACGGCGGATGCCCTTCCAGCCGCAACCCATGGGGAATCTGTTAAATGTCATTTGGGAAATATATTTAAAAAAATAATAATTCAAAGGCGGTTTAATAATTCTGATTTCAACTGTATGTATGAATATCTATATCTGCAAAAACCCTTAGCAGATCAAGAACACAATGCAAAATTTAGCTAGCAAGACATTTTAAAAGGGACCTTGGATAATATTATGCAAAATTCTCATAATTCTTTAAAACTATATCTCAAGTGCCTGTATAAATCCAGCTTATAATGGTAAAAATCCACCCATACTTTTTCCATAATCTCAATAAATCACGAGAGGTATCTGAAAATACAGTTTTAGATTGCCCCCTGATGTGATGTCATAAGCCCCGCCCATTGCTGCTAACTACTGTATCTGGGGTGCATTTCCCAAAACATTGTTAGCCAACTGAGGTCATGAAAGTGACCACAAAAAAAAAAAAAAAACAAGTTAACACATGGTACATCCTATATCTTTCATTCCATACATTTACACTTTTCATCCTCTGTTTGTTAGGAGATTAAAAAGCATGCGTACACGCTGGGAGATCCCTGGAGTGACACTAGGGAGCCTGCTTATTAAAGCAAATTAACAGAGAATAAAGACAGCAAAGCAGTCCTTTGATGCCATGGTCGTTATTGGAAGCAATAATCTGACATCATTTTGAACTTTTTTATTGGGAACATTTATCACTCTACAGCCTGTGTGATGTCATTATAATGACAGTTTTCAGGAATAGCTAGATTTTTCAACAACAATGATGGTATTATTACACATAACTAATATTAACATGATATCTGCAGCTGTTTAAGTTCACAGACATAACATATATATGTTTATGTGAACTTTGTGCTTTTGATACCACTTTATTTGATTATTTTTGAAGGTTATTTTGAAGATGCTAAAGGATAACTGTAGTTTAATACATAAATTGACTAAGCTTTAATATGCATGCAAATATTAAACTTTCTTGATGAAGCACTGTGATGTCACACACGATAAAACCAAATAGTCTTGTGTATCTGGACGCAGTAGCTCATTTGCACTTAAAAAGACACAGACAAAAACAATTTTTGCTTCCTCTTCTTTTGATTCCTAAATTGGAATCTACAGCATGGTAATAAATAATATGTGGTGTATTTTGAGGTAAAACAACAGACACTTTCTGGGGACACCTGAGACCTAGGTATCTTGTAAAAAAAGTAAAAAAAAAAAACAATAATAATAAAAATAGATGTAAAAAGGACATTTTGAGTAAATGTTTTAAAACACAAAAAAAACAAACTCAAAGTTGAAAATGTTTATCAATTTTCTAAAAGGAATTAAAATCTCATCAGTTTGATGAATGATTGATAAATGATTAAAGCTACAAAATATCCTGATTTTAAAGAGGACGTGCATAGAAAGATTGTAGCAAGGACATAAAAAAACACTATGTAGGTGAGGCTAATATAGCTTTTGTTTTAATTATCGGTCTTGATGTGAACGGGCTTTACTCAAACAAGAGGACGAGAAGAATAGAATAAAGTGATTTGCAGGCTATTGATTGCTTTCCTGCGTCCTGATTGCGGCAGCTTTACTGTTCAAGTAGACTTTAACCAATCACAGAAGCACAATGAGCAAAGATAAACAGCACTGATCCCGGTTAAACACTGATTACACATAATACAAGCTTCCAACATTATTTAATTTTCTGTACAAAAAAAACGTGGAAGCATACTAATAAACGATAAACCTCGATGGCAGGAAATTTCACAATAAAAAACAGACTTGGGAACTGCTGTTCAGGACTCATCTGACACACAAACATTGAATCATTAGTAACACAGATTTTAAAAAATTATTTCCAAGCCCAGTTTCTTTAGAAACTGTACGAGACATTTACCTCAAAACTGATGTCCTCTGTCTTCGTGTTTTGATCCGAATAACTGTGAAATTGGAGTATGTGCTGCCATCTAGCGTCTATAGCCTCACAATAACCTTAATTTACAAACGTTTGCTGCGGTTAAAAGTCATATTTACAGTTGAAGTCAGAATTATTAAACCCCCTGAATTATTAGCTCCCCTGTTTATTTTTCCCCTTATTTCTGTTTAACAAAACTATTATGTTTTTAACCAATTTCTAAACATAGTAGTATTAATAACTAATTTCTTATATCTTTGCCATGATGACAGTAAATAATACTTGACTATATATTTTTCAAGACACTTCTACATAATTTAAAGTGGCATTTAAAGGCTTAACTAGGTTAATTAGGTTAACTAGGCAGGTTAGGGTAATTAGGCAAGTTATTGTATAACGATGGTTTGTTCCGTAGACTATAACAAAAAATAGCTTAAAGGGGCTAATAATATTGACCTTAAAATGGTTTTAAAAAGTTAAAAACTGCTTTTATTCTAGCCGAAATAAAACAAATAAGACTTTCTCCAGAAGAAAAAATCTTATCAGACATACTGTGAAAATGTCCTCGCTCTGTTGAACAACATTTGGGAAATATGTCAAAAAGAAAAACAATTTAAAAGGAGGGATTTCAGCTGTATGTATTTCACAAATTATTTCATAATAAAACCATATATATATATATATATATATATATATATATATATATATATATATATATATATATATATATATATATATATATATATATATATATATTTAAAAATTATATTATTTTCTATCAGATTAAAAAAAAAACAATGCTCTTAGATTATTATACACTTTTCTTTAATGTATCACAGGATACTGCACTCATGACAGTACATATTGTCTTTCAGATGTAAATGTCAGAATCTTATAAGCATTGTATGATAAACTGCAGTACTCTAGTCTTTAAAGTTTGATCTGAGGAGTGAGGTTTTTAATATTTTTTAATCTATTGCTTTTACTGTGTTTAAGATATAGTAAATAATATTCTGAAACATTATTACAATATTCTTTTATTTTTGTGCAACTCATACTGTAATATATGTTTTAGTTTATGTGTATGTGTATTTTCTTTGATGATTCAAAAGATTGAATACAAACATTTATTATTTACATGTATAAGTACATTTTCTACATGTATTCACTTTTTAATGATCTTAATGAATCATTGCTAAATAAAGCAATTAATAAATAAACACTCTGACCTCAAACCTATAGAAATGATATTTTATAGATTTTCTACCTACTTTTCATCTTCTTTCTCATCCTGCTGTGTTTCTGTCTTTATAATTTCTTTCTCCTCTTTCTCTTCTTCATTTATCTCGTTTCCTCCTACATTCTTGTCCTTTTCTCCCAGGCTTTCCTCTCCTCCATCACCCTCTCCTCTCTCTCCTTCCACCAAAGGCTCCTCTTTATCCTCCTTCTCTCTTTCACCTTCACCCTCTCCATCCCCAATCTCCCTCTCTTTTATTTTTGCCCTCTCCTCTATCTCCACCTGTGCACCTTCTGCCACAATGCCTTCCCATCCTTCGGTCTGCAGTTCCAGTTGATCTACTCGCTGCATCATTTTGCGGGCACTGGACTCCAGTTCAGCGATCAGCCGGGCCAGTTTGGTTTGCAGCATCTCCAGGATGCCCTCTAGGCGGTTCACCTTGTCCTCTGTTTTCTCCACCTCTCCCTCCCCTTCGACAGCCTCTTCTAGCATCCCCATTTTGGTGAGGATCTGCCGACCCTTCTCCTCCAGCAGACGCTTGGCAGCAGGGTATTCCAGAAGGGTTTCTGTCAAGTCCTCTTTTGATAGGCTGAACAGATCTGAGTATCCAATGCTACGAATGTTGGCCGTTCGTCTGTTTCCTGATTTGTTACCTGTGCAGGAGAGTTTAGATGAATTTGTTATATACGGTGATTCATTGGGTTTGTAAAACTGCCCAATTTGGCAAAAATGCAACATTAAAAGAGCTAAATAAAGCATGTTTCATGTAGTAGTTGCTAAATTATAAAAAATTTGTGAACAGCTATCCTATTTTAAACTATTATATTTATAATATATATATATATATATATATATATATATATATATATATATATATATATATATATATATATATATACCCTGTTTTTTCCCCCAATTTCTGTTTAACGGAGAGAAGATTCTTTCAACACATTTATAAACATAATAGTTTTATTAACTCATTTCTAATAAATGATTTATTTTGTTGTTGCCATGATTACAGTAAATAATATTATAACAGATATTTTTCAAGACACTTCTATACAGCTTAAAGTGATATTTAAAGGCTTAACTAGGTTAATTAGGTTAACTAAGCAGGTTAGGGTAATTAGACAAGTTAATGTACAACGATAGTTTGTTCTGTAGACTATGGGGAAACAAATAGCGAATAGGGGCTAATAATTGACCATAAAATGGTTTTTAAAAAATTAAAAAAATGTTTTTATTCTGGTCAAAATAAAACAAATAAGACTTTCTCCAGAAGTAAAAATATTATCAGACATACTGTGAAAATTCTCTTGCTCTGTTAAACATCATTTGGGAAATATTTAAAATAGAAAAGTAATTCAAATGGGGGCTAATAATTCTGACTTCAACTGTATAAATACATAAAGTGGATCAAAACCTTCATAGTTAAAACAATACCTTTTCCTGTCTTGGGACAATTTTGACACTACGATTGGCTGCTGGTCAAGGCCTAAGCTATAAAACTGAACTGCCAGTGGTAGTACTTATAAAGCTCATTTCTGGTGTGACTGGCAGGTTTGAGAGCTCATGGATTTTCCCCTTAGGCCAACCAAAACTTTGTCTAATTGTAGAGATTGTCCTTGTGTATGTTGAGAAGTGAAACACTTTTGGCAATTTGAGCATGTAAGGGTGGCCTGCCTATTTATCTTGATAATTCTTTGACTTTGTGTTCAGGGAGTGAGGTAAGCTCCTGTATTTTTCTTTAACGATTTGAATTTAGTTTATTTTCTTTGCGCATTCTTTTGTGTGTAATATTGGCCCTGAAGAGATGCTCCCTAATAGTTTTCTACATGCAGTAAATCCATTTAGTTAATCTCAAGTGAGTGTCAAGCTTATTGGGAAATTCACTTCCACAACACAATTGGTTTTTAAGCCCTATAAGAAATGTACTTTCCCTTTTACTTTCTCAAAGACTCGGGCATATTAATATATTTTTGCAGAACTTAATAAAAATGATTATGTGTGTCTCCCAACACTATTTAATTTTTTGAACAAAAAGTTTTTCTGTACATAAAAAATGATATGTTGTCTAAAATTATAAGTCTTAATAACTTCTCAGATATTTTGAGCTTTTGTAATTTTATGCAGAAAATGATTTTAAAAGCATTTAATTTAATAAAAAAAAAATCGGAAACAAAATTAAAATTATATAAACTTTCAAACAAAAAATTATTTAAACCCTTAAATATAAATCACAAATCAAGAAAGACTGAGATTTTTTTAGGTGGTCTTTTAATTTTCTTAAACATTCATGCCCACTCATTCACACACATGCACGATAGGCAATTTTAGCTTACCAATTTCATCTATAGCGCCTTTCTTTGGACTGTAGGGGAAACCGGAGCACCCGGTGGAAACCCACAGAAACACAGGGAGAACATGTAAACTCCACACAGAAATGCCAACTGACCCAGCTGAGGCTCGAACCAGCGACCTTATTGCTGTGAGACAATTGCGCTACCGCTGCACCACTGTGACGCCCTCTTAAATCAATGTATTCTTATTATATTTATTTTTTTAAATTATTATAGTTACAAAACAATTAAATCCTATTTGTTGGCTTTATGTCAAGAGAGTTTAATAAACAATCTGTCTGAAATATGTTGTTATTGTACTGACTATATGAAATATTAAGAATATGATGCAGTAAACTTTAGCACAATACTGATCTTTAGCATTTCATACCTTTGATATTTAGGATGCTGATTTCTCCAAAGAAGTTTCCATCCCCGAGGACTGCAAACTGAGTGACTCCATCATCTGCAACCACTGCCAGCTTACCCTCTTTAATTATGTACATCTCATGGCCTACATCACCCTTCTTGCACACGTATTCACCCGGGCTGTACACCTACAAAAAGTCAATAGACTGGAGTGCGACACTGTATGATTTACTGGCAAAATATACAGTCCAATACTGACACCAGCAAACATAATAAAACAATGCTGAGGTAAAGTACAACATGCTAATCTCGGGTCAGCTGGTTTAAAGCTATCCAGGTGTGCCACCTGTTTTCTTACCTGTGGGGTGAGTTTAAGTACCAGCTGCTCCAACAGACTGTTCTCGCAGTTCTGGAAGATGGTGACTTTGGACAAAGTGGGCAGATGCACGCTCACGGCAGTGGCTGTCTGAAGTGTCATTGGAAGATGTTGAAGAATCTCATTCTCCCGTGTGATCTTTCTGTTCCAGACACATGATTTGGGTACAAAATGAACATTTCGATTTAATAAAGGAGAAAGAAACGACTTGAAGGCCAAATTCAACTACATGCACTGATTTTTATAGTATATTAAATTAAAAATCAATGTCTTCAATGTTTCAAATAACAATTATAAAAATAATAACAAACTGTGGATGAAATAATGCTAGATTTTATAAATATGTAATATTTTTCTTTATATATATGGATGTCTGCTGTAGAGTATAAAACATTGGTCAAAATGTCTGATAGTCAATGTTTTAAATTGAGAATTTTGGCCAAACAGGACACATTTAATAGGGAAAAGATATAAAAGCTGTACTACACTTTTTGCTAACCATTTTATTTGAATAAAAATATACAGTATTTTTTGTGATTACAAATTAAGATAGCTTATTTTGTATTTTCATGCGTCATTTATTAAACTGGATTTTAGCATCTTTACTACAGTGTCACGTGATTACATGTGAGTGACTATCATTTTTTTCAATTCAGAAATAATTTGTTGACTGGTACTGAATGCTGTTTTGTTGCCTAATATTTTCTTATGATTTTTTGAACAGACGGTTCAAAAGAACATTCGAAAAAAGTTATTTAGATTTTTCTTAAAATATTAGGAAGACCTCAAAACTTTAGTGGAGAGTGGAGGCAGTTGCAACATGGAGCAATTACTACAAGACTTTTTCCTCTATTCAGGAATGAGCTAGAATGATGATATTCATACTACATATTCTCAGTTAGATCCTCCTTCAATCTGAGAGAAATTAGCCATATGTGACTATTCCTTCAGTATAAAACTAATTTTATATATAAAAAATGTTAATGTTCAGAAAATTTCTCATATTGTCTAATCTGTTTTTGTGAAACATTATTTATTCGTATAATTAAAATCACTGTTTTCTTAGCTTTAAATATGTATAGCTATTAAACGTTAAAGCTATTGTATCTTCCTACCATAGACAGTTTAATCAGGGTTGACAGAGTTGGGACATTTAAAAAGCTTGCCATAAAAACAATGTACAATTTTAATTTTATCACAATTTAATTTATTCATTTTCTTTACAGCCCTTTATTAATCAGGGGTCGCCACAGCGGAATGAACCGCCAACTTATCCAGCAAATGTTTTACGCAGCGGATACCCTTCCAGTTGCAACCCATCACTGAGAAACATCCATACACACTCATTCACACACACTCATACCCTATGGACATTTTAGCATATGCAAACTCCACACAGAAATGCCAACTAACCCATCCGAGGCTTGAAGTTCTTGTTGTGAGGCAATCGTGCTACACACTGTGCCACCATGACGCCTCTATCACAATTTCAATGTAATTTAATTTTTAAAAATTATTCTGATTAATTAATTTAAAAATTTTGTTCAGTTTTTTTAGACTTGATAATTGGTTGTAGCTTGTTCTTTTAACAGTCTGTATTTTAACACTTTTAACAATTTAATCAATCCACATTTAGTCTGTTTACCAAAAAATAAAATTCAACCTGATGTTTTAGAATTATTATCATTTTTTTTATTATTATTACATTTTAATAAATGTTGCAACTGTCCATCTGCTTGGGGTAAGTTTGTCATGTCTGTTAAAGTTTAAATCCTGCATATGTACATGAATGTGGGTGGACGTCCAATAGATATGCGTCTATTATGTTAAAATTTTGAGTTTCCACAAAAGGAAAACAGTTTAGTTTCTCTGAGAAACTGAAGGAAATGCAAAAAGTGTTGAAACTGTCCCCCCTCTCCCCTATAGTGTTTGAGAGGTTAAAACTGCTGTTTGAGCACATACACTGTTAACCCTTACTGTAGATTATGCAGTATATAACTGTAAAATAGCCAGTGTTTAGCTGTAATGAAAAGAAACAGTATTTTACTGTAAAAGGAGCAGGATTTGTATGAAATTCTGTAGTGCAAAGAATAAATTACAGTAATTTACTCTATGTACCATTACAGATATTTACTGTGATAATAAATGGTAAATTACTGTTCAACCTTTACTGCCCCATCTATTCTGATGCTTTATGTTGCTATTTTATATTTATTTTATCTCTGTGTTTTCTTTGGTTCCTTTTATGTTTTTAACATTGAGTATCATGAGTCAACCAATGCCACAGAGCTTATTAAAAGGTAAGTGTAAGATATGGACGAAATGCATTTAAAGGCAAAAATATTCACACAGAGCAAAGAAATTTTCACAATAATTTTTATAACTTTGTTTACTTTTTCTATAATTAATCTAATTTAATTGCCTAGTTTGACTTATAGTTAAGATTTTAAATTGCACTTTCAACTGAATATTAGTATTTTGCAAAATAACTAGTAAAAATGTGTTATATAAAAAAAAAATATATATATATATATATATATATATATATATATATATATATATATATATATATATATATATATATGTATATATATATCTTAAACAACACGCACATACATTTTTGCAGAGACTCAATGAATTTGTCTGGAAAACTGGCAAGTAAAAGTGCCATTAACAGTATAAAGGCTTTCCTAAATAAATGTATAAATCATGATATTTGTTGTGTTTTTTATTATTTTTACTACAGATTTGGAACGACATGAGAATCAGATTATTTGTTTATTTATTTTTTTCTATGGAGGAAGTTTATATTATAGTATATTTTTATTGTTTTATTAAACAATATGTGCATAACTGTGATAAATGTAGGCAGTTGCTTTGAAAATATGCTATATGTACCAGGGGTGTCAAACTCCTGGAAGGCCACAGCCTAGTAGAATTTAGTTCCAGCCCTGCTTCAACACACTACCTTTAGATTTAGTTTGATCAGGTGTGTTTAATTAGTATAACTGCACTGTTACTCTGTAGATTGTGCAGTAAATAACTGTAAAAAACAATGATTTAGGCATCACCACACACTCCCACAGGCTGTCCGTCTTATTCTAAACACAAAGGTGTTAGAAAGAGTTTTCAGAAAATGCTGGCCCTTTAAGAGAGCCAGGTGTTTGATTTGTTTACTGCTGAGTGTGCTCTATTCTCTGTCTATCAATTCAGATGTTGAGTCTGATATGTTTTAGGCTTTAAATAAGAATCTAAAATGAGTAAGTAAAATGTGTTCAAATGTTTTTGAGGGTTTATAAAATAAGGCTGTGTTTTAAGTTATATTGTTGTTATCTTGAAATGTGTACTTGAAAGCTACATTGTTAGCTAGTTAGCCTCTCCTCATATAACTTCTTACATTACTTTTGTTTAAGTATATGTATTTATTGGATATTGCATACTGCCATAATGTACAGATGCTAAAAGTTGAATGTATCTTTCTGGCAACTAAGCCAAAATTAAATTTCATCATCTCAGTAAGGTAACATGTGCACATCATCACAGGGAATCACAAAAACATGATACACATAGCCATTAACAAACAAAAGCTCCCCTGTCCGGTCCCAGGTTGTGAGTTTGTTGCTAAGTATTTTTCAGAGCAGTGTTTCCATCTATGAATTTATATTTGAAACAATAAAAAAGTTTGTTGTCATGAGATAATTATAACAATAAAAGATTGGATCCTTTGGTTTTTCGGTGTTGCCAACTTTATTTTTGTTTTCTATAATTATTTTAAACTTTTTGAGATTTGACAGAGCTTTTAATTATTTAAAACTTTAAAATTTAAAATAATTATTTTGTTTTTTGCTGTTCAGTTTTTTTTTTTTTTTTTTTTTTTTTGCATGGTCAGCATTGAGGAGAGAGTAACACATTTCACTGCAGCACTTTGTGTGTGTGTGTGTGTGTGTGTGTGTGTGTGTGTGTGTGTGTGTGTGTGTGTGTGTGTGTGTGTTTATTGGATATGTGATTGTGATAAATGTTAGCAGTTGCTTTAAAAGTATGCTATATACCAGGCATGCTTAATCCTGTTCCTGGAGATCTACGTTCCTGCAGATTTCAGTGGCTATCCATATCAAACACACCTAAACCAATTAATTAGGACTTGAACACCACGTGATAATTACAGGCAGGTGTGTTTGATATGGGTAGCAACTGAAATCTGCAGGAACGTAGATCTCCAGGGGTCAAACTCCAAGTTACTGGAGAACTGCAGGGCAGCAGAGTTTAGTTCCCACCCTTCTTCAACATTACCTGTAGATTTCTAACGAGCCTTAATTAGTTTGATCAGGTGTGTTTAATTAGAGTTACAGCTTAAAGTCCCGGTCACACTGCACTTTTCTCCCTATAGACTTCCATTCATACGCATGTGAATGCTGCAGACCTGGAATGCAAGCTCATGCGACAAATTTTACAGTTTGCAGCATTGGAAAGTTCAAGCTTGGAGATCTCTGAACTGCGAAATCACATCATGTGATTGCTTGAGACTAATCAAAGATCAAACCATGACCTCTCTGAACAAAAATTATGGACCAGTTGCTTGCTTTTTCAATCTCTAAATATATTGTTTAATCCCACTCCTTTTCGCAGAGCCATGTGACAGAATTTTGCATGCTTAAACGTTAGTTTGACTGCAGCCTTTCTGTGCAGACCTGGGGCTCTCAGTAATATGTAAGATGATATTTATATCTGCTGATTTCTTAATTTTGTTATACATTTTCTGTTTTGTATTTGTTTGCTGCCAAAACAATAAAATAAATTTGTCAGAATTTACAACTTAATTAATTTAAAGAATTAATAACAGGTAAGAATACCAATTAATTTTAGTAACACCTTGACATACTATTGTGTATGCAGTATAATGCTGTGAGTTGTAACACTACAGTACAGTAATTAACTGTACACAGTTTCCAGTTAGTTACCACTACTGCTCTATTACAGTAATTAACAGGCAACACTGTTGCCAGCTACTCACTGCAATGGTTCAGTCACAGTAAACAACTGGCAACACTGTTGCCAGCCACTCACTGTAATGGTTCAGTTTCAGTAATTAACTGGCAACACTGTTGCCAGGTACTTACTGTAACCAAACTTTTACAGTGAGTAGCTGGCAACAGTGTTGCCAGTGTTCTTCTGTAAAAAAGCCTGGTAAGGTCTAACAGTGTAGGCTGAATAAAAGGAAGACCCACTTGTTGATGTGCAGATGCTGATACCAGTCGTTGACGCGCTTCTGCAGCTCCTTGCTAATGCGGTGGCTGCGCAGGTAACCCTTCACCAGCTCGTGGTCAGGAAAAAACACATTGTCACGGTCACGCAAGCTGGAAATCACGTCCCCCATGCTGCCCACGACCGAAGCAAACACCAACACGGCGATCAACATGTCTGCGATCAGAAACATATACTCTTCTTCCCGCTCGGGCGTTGGTGTGTCGCCCACTGTGGTGAGGATGAGGGTGGAAAACCAGAAGCAGTAAAAGTATTGGCGTCTCATGGAGGCAAACTCCGGGTGGGAGATATTGGGGTAGACCCAGGGGTCCGCGCCAAACCCTATGTAATTTGACAGGGAGAAGTAGATGCATGCGTTCCAGTGGATCAGGACGAAGATATACAGCATGAGTTTGGCAACGCGGAAGGCGTTCGGGAAGGATGTGCGCGTCTCCATGCGGTCCAGGGCCTCGTTCAGACGGCCTGTGCGCAAGAAGCGGTTCACCCGGACCAGAGGTGTGTGGATCCCCAGCTGTAGGTAGAGCAGATCCGTGGGCAGCAGGGAGGTCATGTCCCACTTGAAGCGAGAGGAGCGTAAATAACGCGTTTTTAAACGGGACAAGTCTCGCACCAGGATACCCTGCTCCAGAAAACCTGTCAAGAGAAAGATTCTTTTATATAGAAACCCCAAATGGTGCTAACTGTTACTATCTTTATCTTTTATTTGTTTTGGGCTAATAATGTTTTAACAAACTATAAAAGGCCTTTAACACTGTACATATGTTGTCTTCTAAACCCAGTTTTTACGCCCGGGTAGAAAATTGTTGTACAAGTCAATCACACCACAAGATGGTGCCACGACTCAACATTTTATGTTAAATTGCTATTCAACACTTGTAGCCAAAGTCAATGATAATACTGAGTTCCATGTGTCAGCACTACTTGTTTGCTTAAAAGTTATTAAAAAGCAAAACGGGCAAATATTTTGGCCTGCATTGTATATAAACTGTTCTTAGTAACTGAATTTTCATATAATTCACACACTAAAATACCTCTACGATATGCTTAGTACATGATACATTGCAGTGACATCTATGTAGATGTGCCAGTTTGCATCATATTTGTTGAACCTTTGCTTATCTGCAAACCTCAGAGAAAATTTCTATTAGATGTTAGGTTGACAAATACATCCATGGGGTGTTTATTATTCAGCTTGTTTACTGTTTTAAGTCGTTTTTAAACGAACTTTAGAATATTAGGTTATTTATATTAATCTACAAATTAAATTTTTAAATTTATCCAGAAGAAAATTTTAAAATACATGAAAAAAACAACTATGAAAAACAGATACATGCACACTCACCTGTGCGAAACCCAATAATTGTGTCAAGCACATAAACCAAGTCACAGAGGTAATCCAAGGTGAGCCATGTTGCGACATATGCCTCCTCAATTGTATAGAAACATGTCCTTTTAACAATATAGAGTTTTAACATCAGATTACAAAGCTCTTCTCCCTTTACAAATAATGACCTAAAGTGCCGTTAGGAAATTAGGTTTAAAAGTAAAATGAAAATTTAAAAAGCGTCATTTGATTTGACATGTCTTTATGTTATTTAATAACAATATAACAATATATTTACAAATATGCATACATTACATGATATACATACATTCATATAAGCTATAACAATATATTTAATACATGGAAAAAGTGATTTATTAAAGTGTATACTGCATTAATTGGTAAAGCTGTTGTTCAATAGAAAGAAAGGAGAAAATTACACATTTGTGTTTTGCTATACCTGCATATTATGATGACCCAGTTGTAGCAGATAGGGAGCGTCATAATTTGCAACCATGTATAATAAAATTCTTCTGATGGATCGATTACCCATTCCTTCCAGCTGAGAGATTGGGTATATAGAAGATTTACGTGTTAGTCCTTTTAAATAGAATCCACCTTAAAATTACATTCACTCACCCTTACAAACTTCCAAACTTTTATGAGTTTCTTATTTCAATTGAGCTCAAAAGAAGATATTTTGAAGAATGTTTAAAACTGGTAGCCACTGACTTTTAAAAATCAAATATTATGATTGCCAATGGTTACTGGTTTCCCACATTTTTCAAAATATCCTCTTTTGTGTTCGTCAGAAGAAAGAAACGCAAGCAGGTTTGCAACAAGTAAAGGGTAAATAATGACAGAATTTTTAGTTTTGAGTGTACTACCCCTTTAAATAATAAAAAACTAATTATTTATTTTATTTGTGTATATTGGAAGTGAACACTTAGATTCTCATATAAAGCTAGCCTATTTCATTACACTAACAAATGAGGCAACAGCATATTTGAACTAAAACTCACTTTGTTTTTGGAGTCTCGTCTTTCTTTTTCTTCAAGGTTGACTCTTGTCCCTTACTTTCTTCTTCATTTTTGTTCATGCGCTGCCGTTCAAAAAGCCTTGTCCAGCGATTTTTGTTCATATTTAGTATTTACAAAAATATATGACGTTATATCAACTTGACAAGAGATGAAGAAAATGCAACCATTGTTTGACCACATAGTTGTGTCGTCATATCAACAAGTGACAACACCCATATAACACAGGTGCTATGTGATGCTTATCGTCATGACAACGTTTCCCCTGAGGAACCACAGGTAAGCAGTTTCCTCCTGGGTCAGCACACTGTTAATCATATTTATGCAAACACTATGGACAAATGAAAAAGAGAACTCTGAAAACCAATATTGATTTTTTTCTGTGGTACTTTGGAACAAACTTATCCACAGACACAGTACTTGTATGACAAAATATCAGTGCACAGAAAGTATTTAATTGTGGTTTTGATTTAAAGTTTTAATTTGACCTTGAATAGTTTTTTTAATTTGTGTTTAAATTTAGAACTGCGTGGTGGTGCAGTGGGTAACACATTCGCCTCACAGCAAGAAGGTGGCTGGTTCGAGTCCTGGCTGGATCAGTTGGCAATGCTGTGTGGAGTTTGCATGTTATCCTTGTGTTTGCATGGGTTTCCCCCACAAATCCAAAGACATGCAATGTAAGTAACTAAATTGTCCGTTGTGTATGTGTGTGAATGAGTGTGTGTGGGTGTTTCCCAGTGATTGGTTGCAGCTGAAATGGCATCTGCTGCGTAAAAACATACTGGATAAGTTGGCGGTTCATTCCACTGTGGTAATAAAGGTACTAAGCTGAAAAGAAAACGAATAAATGAATGTTTTAATCTCTCTCTCTCTCTCTCTCTCTCTCTCTCTCTCTCTCTCTCTCTCTCTCTCTCTATATATATATATATATATATATATATATATATATATATATATATATATATATATATATATATATATATATATATTTTTTTTTTTTTTTTTTTTTTTTTTTTAGGGCAACACGGTGGCTCAGTGGGTAGCACAATTGCCTCAGAGCAAGAAGGTCACTGGTTCGAGCCTTGGCTGGGTCAGTTGGCATTTCTGTGTAAAGTTTGCAGGTTCTCACCGTGTTGGCGTGGGTTTCCTCCGGGTGATCCATTTTCCCCAGATTCCCCCACAAGTCCAAAAATATGTTGTACAGGTGAATTGGGTAGGCTAAATTGTCCGTAGGGTATGTGTGTGAATGGGAGTGTGTGGGTGTTTCCCAGTGATGGACTGCAACTGGAAAGGCATCCGCTGCGTAAAACATGTGCTGGATAAGTTGGCGGTTCATTTCGCTGTGGCAACCCCAGATTAATAAAGGGACTAAGCCGAAAAGAAAATGAATGAATTAATTTAATCAAAATGTTGAATTTCATATATCATAATTTATTATTAATCAACTGATTTAAATCATTTTATTTAATTATTTAGTATGTATTTGTATTATTTTTCTCCAAACTTTCCACATGCCCCTCATACTCTCTTGCAGTCCCCTGTTTTGTGCATTTAATTTTAGATATATTTAAGCAATTAGTATTTACCCAGACAAAGATTGACAGAAAAAAGCCAAATTATAGTTTATCAAAAATAATAAGTAAATATACATAAACGTACAAACCTAAAGATTTACAAGATGTCCTGCCTAATCAATCCACAGAAGTCTTGTTTTGTTGCACATCATAAACAACAATTACTAATCATGCCATGGCTAACTCATGAATATTAATTACGAGCCATGTGTGGCATAAGGTGTGGCCGCAGCTAAAAGGTTACTAAGCAGCGCAAGTTCTATTAATTAATGGGGTATAATTTAGTGTTATTCTTTCTTTTTGGTGTTTGCATATCTTAATTCCTTAATAAGTAATGATATATATTTTTTTAATTCTATAAATTTCAGACATTTATTTGGAGTTTCTATAAAAACTTTCTCTTTATATACCTGTTAAAGAGTATATGATGGTCATTAATGGTATTCCCTCTAAGCTTAAGAAATTATTAGTAAATGATATAGTTCAAGATACAAATTTAGATTTTAGTCTTAAATTGGAAGGTTTAAATATAAAAGAACATTTTTAAAAAAATAATAATTATCTTAGAATAATTTGCCAGATTGTCAATGTTCCTTCAGCTATTGAGTACTGGAGATCACAATTTCAAGATGTTAACTGGAACGAGACTTTTAAGATTCCTAGATGTTTTTACGTTTTTATATAACGAATAAAATTAGAGAGGTGTCGTTTAAAATTGTTTATCGTATTTACCCTGTAAAACAGATAATTGCAAGATTTTGTAAAGATGTTGATGTAAAATGTACTTTTTGTAACAATAAAGAAGAGAGTATTGTTCATTTATTTTATGATTGTATTTATACACTATTGTTTTGGTGTGATCTTTTCTTTTTTTTGTTAAGCAGAGTACGAATATTGCATTAATATTCAAAGAAAAATGTTTTATTTATTTATTTATTTTATTTATTTTTTGACAAATACAGTTGACTTCAAAATGTGGCATATTGTTAATTTGCTCATTATACATGGAAAATGTTTTATTCATAAATGTAAATGGGCTGTGAAAAACATTATTTTACTCACTTTAAAATAGAAATAGTTCATTGCCTATGCACAATAAAAGAAACAAAAAATATCAAAGCAAAACGAACTGTTAATTATTTTAAAGCCTTAAATTTTGTTTTTTGAATAATTGTATTTTTTTTTCTTATATTGTACTTCATTGGATGTCAATATAATGTTGATATTGCGCTTGTATATTCTGTGTTCTAAAATTGCACACGCAATTTTAAAAGCAGCGCAAGTTCGGGTTAATATGATTAATATTCATACTCCGCTTTTTCAATTCGCCAACTTCGCCGGCGGTGGCGCTCCGAGCAAAACAACAGAGCTCCAGCTATGGCCGCCACCCTCCAGTGTGACGTCACCGCGTCCCGTGCGCGTAGGTGTGTCCGTGGAGTCTGTGGAGAAAGATGGCTGCGGGACGAAGGGAGAGGTTGAGAAATCTCAGATTCGCTGTTTGAGGACTGACAGGTTACAATAGAGGACAAGGAGGAAAACTGCGTTCGCTCGCGTAAGTATTTTCTGCTCCGTTTATAATGGTGGTTTCGCGCTGTGTTGTCCCGTTACCCGTTTCCCGCTCGGCTCGCAAGCTCGGACAGCGTCAAATCAAATCTGACCCGTTGCGAGCTCACCGTACGGTTAACGTTGAAACTCCACACAGATGAGGCGAGGAATAAAACTGCCAGTGAAAGGAAATATGCGTAGGCCTTATAAATAATGAAAACATCCAGAAATGGGTTTAATGTACGTTGTCCCACTTGACATTAAGCAGATAGAATAACGGTTCTTAACCGTTCCGTGACCAGTGTGTGTTTAAAACGACACATCACTGCGTGGGAATGTGTAGCGTGACACATACTCGTACTGAAAGTGAGAAAGAGGGAGCCTCATTCACTTAAACTTGAATTGTGCTATTGACAGCTGGTTAGGTATTTCTAGGTCATCATCTTGGTATGAAGAAGTAAAGCGATTCTGTTCAAGGGTTGTTTACAGCTGTTGTAAGTGGCTTTTGACCTGTGCAGCTTTATTGTAATTACTCATGTGGTGATCCCAGGTTTGGCCGGTAAAATATTTCAAGTCACAAGTCTGAGGTTTTAAAATGACTGCTATGTTGTTGTTGTTTAACCTGAGTACTCAAAACTTGGCTTTTGGAGCTAGTGCCTATTATGGTGCATAATTTCGGGCCAAATATGTAATCATGTGGTTTATTTTGCAAGTAACTTGTATTTTAAGTGAGTCAGACCATACGTCTGCTTATGAAGTCTTATATTTTTTGTTTTCAGATCCTAAGTTTGAAAAAATCTATGATTATGGCAACAGCCTTTGGTGTCAGCTTCTTTGAGTCTTTCTTTTGGCATCTTTCGTTCGTAAAAAGCCTATTTAAGTAGTTTATGAAGCCCATGCTAATTAGACTTATAAACAAATTTTAGCATTAGCATTAGATTCATAGATGTATTTAACATTTCTTTTTGTATTTCTGTGATTTATTTTTGTTTTTTGATGAATGTACTAGTAAAAAAATGTGACTTGGTCTGACTTAAGCTTGTTGTCCTCATATAAATCATAGAAAACAAGCATAAAATAATACAATTCAATGATAGAATGCATCCTTGATCACTGTCAGCTTCTACTTCATCAAATTATGTCACTTTCAAGTCATAGCCTTAAATATGTATTGCATGCATTTTATGTTGATGTGACAGGACTGGGACATGGGGACAATTATTAATTTTATTTGTATTATATATTTCCATTTATTTATTTGTAGAATAATTTATATTTTCATGTTTTTACTCATTTGATGTGAATGATAACAACTTGAACTTGCTATTTCTAAAGAATATTTTTTCTTAATGACATATACTGGCATAACAAAACTATTAAAGCTGTTGGTTCAATTGGGCTAAGGACAAGAACAATGCCAGGGTTTTTACATTTGTAAAGTGTTTTTAATATAGAAATCTGAGAACCAAATGAATTACATAATAGTTTTTATTCACTGTATTTATGTTTTTATTTGAGGGACAGAATATGTACATTTCTGGTAGAATGTCTTGTGTGCGTGTGTGTGTGTGTGTGTATGTGTGTGAATTAGCTTCATTTGTTAGTTCTACCCATACTGCAACAGTCCTAATCTCATTTTAGTGTCAGAATGACTGAACTTTGTACTCTTGATGATTAAAACCCAAGGAATGAATGTGACCTGTATATAGTGCAAACAAACTTGCTGTCATTCTTTCTCTTGCTATTACTTCTTCAGTCATGTTTTTTCTTTGTTCCAACTCAGTGGTTAACACTCTTTAAAATGATTCTGATAAAGTTAGTCCTTATAGTTTATTATTCATTTATTCTTAAAAATATAAAACATGCTAACATGGATCTAAATGTAAAAAGTATTTGCAGTGGCATAAAAACTTAATCATACATGCATGCATCCATGATTAAGTGTACAGACCACACCACACAAGGATTTGGTCGCAAAAATAGATACTCTCAAATGCTCTTTCTGTTGAAAAACCTTGGCTTAGACTTGGAGGAAACAACCTTGTTTAATATTAAGCTGGAATGTTTTTCTTTAGCTAAATAGTTAG